ATCCGAGCTACTGTGCACCTCCCATCCCGCCATCCTCCCATCCCCCCATCCCCCCCAACCAAACGAACTTGAATTGAAAAAAATGAAACGTACTGCTCTCAAAATTATTAATTAATTATTAATAAGATTAATATCATGAAAATAAATAAAATAATGCTAATGTAAACTGAGCGAAGGATCGCATACTCACTTTTTCAGAAACTGTGCTCGCCCCAGAGCATCTGCAAAAATAAGGTTGAGTAGGAGAATGAGTCGACTAAAACATCTATTAGTTGGAGAGTTTTACTAAGGCAATTAACAGCTCAAACTGAGAATGCTCATCTTTGCGATGTCCAACTGCTTTCAAACTTTCTTTCTACTAGTGGTCACTCGCATTAGATTTTACTATAATAATTAATACCCCAAAGGCAAGCTTGGAATTCTGAGTTTTGTAAATTTGCCAGCATTCTCTTCATTTTCTCCGCTAAAAGATCCCTAATAAATTTTCAACTTACAAATGACTAGTCGTCATATATGGCTTTCCTACCTCGTTTTCCAGCATGTATTTTTTTTTTTGGGCAGCCCTCGAACGTTCCTCGCGTAACGCTTTGATCTTCTTCTTCACTTCACTACAATGGATTACAGCAAAAAAGACAAAGCATCATTTTTAGGGGTAAATATCGATTAAAACTCCATTAAGTGAATTTGCTTCATCTCGTAGAAGCAAATTCACATATTTTGTTGCTGTTGTTGTGACTTTTGCAAAGCTGTTCCCCAAAAGAAAATGACAGCATTATTTAAATAAAGATGTCTTCCAAGCAGAATTTCAAGTTTTCTAGCGTTTCCTTCTCACGAAAAGTGCATTTAGCATTTAGTCATGATATTACGGGTTTGGTCAGTGATTATTACTCAAACGATGACCCACATTCCCGCCCCCTCCCCCCTCATTATAAAGATGTAAATAAAATCAACATACATGTTTTCTTCGATTAGCTTGTGAAGAACATCGGCATAGTATTTCCTAGAGCCACCAGGATAATTGTGAGCGATAATCATCTGTGAAAAAAAAAATTCTTTTGTATACATTTAAGGCCCCACCTAATTCGTCGATCATTCGCCAAAGAGCTGATATACGAAGGTAAAGAAAATTCACGTCTCATACTTTGTCTCAAAAATATATGACGATGGCCCGGAATGAATTTACTTGATTAGAAAACGGTTGAAAAAAAAATTTAAAAAAAACTTCCCAAGTAGAGAGATGCATGGGGGTTGGAGTGGGGGGAATTTTTGCTGGTTATGTGCCGCTGACCTCTCAGATTCCTTACCTCATTATGGTATGTTCTTGGATCAATTGTAGACTCCATCTTAGTCACTTCACAAAAACGATTACAACTTTTTTACAACTAATCTTCCCATTTTTAAATCTCTAGTTACCAGAATTTTCTTACTCCCAAAATCCCGAGAGATGTTCGACCTCATTCTAATAACTCCATTGAAAATGAAACCCACTATAATCAATCCAGTTGTGAAGATACGAACCCGTCCAGTGGCACATCCCAATTTGCTTATTTCTAGGATGTACGTGCCCCCCCGGGAGGGATACCAACCTCCTCGATAACAGCAGCTGGAATTTCATACTTTCGTCTTTCACTGTCCACGATGATCTCCCGCGCAAATTTAATTTCCTCCGTCAGTGATGGTTTCCTCTTGCCAGAAAACTGATTCTTCATTGCCTGGCATTTCTCTTTTGACTTTCTCAAGCTCTCTCTGTGGTTCCATTTTGGCACAATCACTGAATATGCAGTCTGAATTTCGTCAGCAAACGTAATACTCTGCGGCAAAAGTTCTGATTCACAACCTTTTATCACACGGCGCCGTTCAGAGGCCTTTTTCTCAAATTCTTTGTTCTTAGAATGGCCGTAAATCAATAATTTCGCTGTCGTCAAGCTGTCGAGAAGGGAATTTTTCCTCTCAGAGGTATGGCGTTTGATGATCTTTCTTCTTTCAACATTCCGGAAATCTCTTTTCCTATCGTCTGTAATCACATCCTTGGTCTTTCTCACTTTGTCATGGATACCCTGGGAGACTTCCGTTACCTGGGGGACTTCTGTACCATGCGGGACTGCCGCACCCTGGGGAACTGCCGTACCCACGTAGTCATTTGTCGAGGCCACCAAATATTCATTTGTTTCTTAAAGGAAGTAAAAAGGAAAGAGTGCAGATATAACAAACCGTTTCACTTCCCTCAGATTGAACCATATAAGATTCTTGTGGTAGAATATCCTACAATCTGATTCTTAGTCAGCTGTTTCCCGTTCAAATCGATATTAGAAGCTGTTAGTTCTCCAAAAGATAGAAAAACCGGAGGTTTTGGTCAAACATTCTCTGAAGAAAGAATCTCAGAATCAAATTAATCCCACAAGCGACTCTAAGCTCGAGAATTGAGCGCCACCGTTTCGAGGATGTAAAACTCACATTATCTCGCCACCCCTACTAGTACAAGCATGTCCATTAATACAATAATTATCGTATTCTGCCTTCCTAGAAAGAATACGATTTAATAATAAATTTATTAAGACGCTGGATAGTCCACCACCGGCACTCTCTATCACCCGTTTTGCCCTCTCTCAATTGTAAATCTCTCAGTCGTGTGAATTTTCGTATTTCCCCCCCTTGAAGTGCAGCTAGCTTTTCCGGCCTTAAGCCATAAACCATTAAAATGACTGTGATAGAGAGTTTATTTTTATACCTGAGGTTTGATGAGGACCGGGCATAGGTTCTTCCTGAGGATAGAAATAGTAGTAATAGCCTGCAGGATATTCAGCCGCTGAAGGATGAATGCTATCAACTCTGATGCTCGTGAGTTCTTCCCCGCCATCTTGACCAGTGTTAGCATTATCATTTCTCATAGTTGTGTACTTGTATTCATAGTATTTCCTTATAGGCCTGGAAGTAAGAAAATAAAGTTTAAGAACCTTGTCTTCAGCTACGAGAATAATTAGATCATCACCGACCTACTGTTCCGTTATCGTCTAACTCCATCTTCAGAGTCGGTACGGGAAATATAACCGGTTGAAAGCGAAACACAGAAAGATTCAGACTCTTTGTGATTATGTGAGAAGAAAGGTCAACTTGTGGATAAAGCACTGACCTTACGTTTTTTCTTTCGTTTAGAGATTGGTTACCAATTATGTCCCTCCAAAGAGCTAGGCCCATTTGCTGAAGGGACAGATAACGTTATCCAACGGACAAAAAACTACCCAGTGGATGAGTGTTATCAAAACCTTCTGCGCTATTCACTATGGATAGAGACTAATCCTGTGGATATAGTGTTATTCAAACTTCGAACAACCGATGCCTGGTGAGTAACGACATTTCGTAATACATCCAACCCAAGCCAAACATATCAAGACCACTAATCAAACAAATGATTACGGTGTGTGGTTGCTAAAGATTGATTTTCATGTAAGTTGTACATACCATGTAAACACAAGGAGAGAAATCGTCAGAAGAAACAGAAATACTCCTGCGACCACGGAGGTTATGATGATGGAAAAGCCAACTCCTTTTTCTTCCTCCTTTTTGTTATCTCCTTTCCCAACACTTACTATTTCCTCATAGCTTTTTCTGTGAGCCAAGGACAAACCAATCCAGCGAATATCAGATCCTGGTTTTGTAGGTGGCTTTCGATCAGATCCCAGGTGGATTTCAGCGTCCTGTTGGTTATCTCCGGGGTCATCAGTGACCCATTTATCACCACTTTTAGTTTGAATATGTCGAGGCCGCGCGGGTTTCGGAGAAGAGCCAGGGCCAGAATTCAAGTCAGAATCCTCAGTGGTATCAAACTCCCATTCATCATAAATTTTAGGCTCTATATCGTGAGAGGCGACAGGAAATAGTTGACAAGTTATGAAAGAAGAAATATGACTAAAGTGTTGGGAATACATCAACGCTTGTCCTCTCTAGTCAAGCACGTATTTGTGACGTAACTAACCATAAATTATCAATGCCTTGTACGTGAGATAAGGCAAACACACCGGAATGAGACAGAGTGTATGAACTGATTTATTAGAAAAATGCTGCGAGTTCTGCTACGGGAAATAAGCTGTCTTGATATTTTCCAGTATAGGTGTCCAAAATGTTTTCTTCTAGAAAACGCTGATAGTTTCCCGGGTTAAACGCATTTATCATGGATGAAAATAGTTTGTTGTCAACTACCGGTACCCTAAAAAGCAAAGTAATTGACCACACTAGTTTCAGACTCACGTTTCATTTCTTTATGCTCTCCAGAACCAGAAGCGTGATATTCGAAATAAGCAGAAGCCCAGTCGGTGCTAGACTCTGAATCCATACCTTGAATCGCATCAGATTCCCTCTGGTTGAAGGATTTAGATTCAAAGTGCTGAGTTTCACCGGAAGTCATTTCGGTCTGAGCCCAATTGTCATCGGAAGGAGAAATCAGAAAGTTGACGTCAAGCAAAGATATTAAATCTCGCCTACCGAGCCCCAGTTGGTATCAGATTCAGGGTTCAAGGTTAATTCCATGTTTTGAGTTTTAGTAAAGTAAAAAGCGACATGACATATCTTATTTAATCATATATTTCGAATAATTATATCCCTTCCACTGATCAGCCTTAAAGAAGATCAGTATTGACTACAGGAATGAAAAGCCAAACTCCTGCAAATCCCTGATTTAAGGTTAGGAGCGAGTGCTGCGTCCTGAGATCGAATGCTTCCGGCTCGAGCTATGGCAGTGTCATTGGGTTGTCCTCCGGGCGGGAGGGCACTGCTCGGAGTGGCAATACTCCCAGTAGATTCGTGCTACAGAAGCTGGAATAAGCTCTGGGAGGATGAGCCTTTAAGCTCGTAATCTGACCTTACCTTTTTTACTTTTTTTGATGATTTTTGTAGGTTATCTCCTCTCCTCAAACGGTTCTTTCCACTGTTAAACAATTTCTTCCATTTAGTTTGAAGGAATGTCTCTTCGCTGTCGGTAATCCCATCATGGGCAGATGTTGTTCCACTGCCAGTTCCAGAATAATCATCTGTGCTGTCATGGAGCCTGTTTTGAACACGCTTCAATGAAGACACAGGGATACCGCTTGTCTCCTTTGGACTTCTTGATGGTAGAGAATATCCTACAGATAAAACAAACGTATGCAAGGATTGTCGTTAAATTCTTTATGATGTAATGACATTACGATAGCTAATATACATCACAGTCGCAGAGATTTAAGTAAAGTTAACAAAACACCGCAAAAAGAACATGTTTGTGCCGCTACCTGGTCCCCAGTTCTACGTGGATTAAATTCCAAAGAGCGTCCATTTTACTTCTGTGGTGTTTTGACAGATCTCTCTTTTCTACACACTCGGTCTTATTGATTAAATATATCTCTCTTATCTAATGACGATTTCGAAATAGCTCGTTCTGTTTCTTATATTTCTCAGCGTGTGCAGTTGAAGCGAGTGAAATAAACACTATTCAGGGATCGATCGTTATATATTTCCTGGGGGAAGGTTGATGAGGGAATTAGAGGATTTTACTTGTATGATAATATTTTTCCTAATCTCTCCCCTCCCCTCCCCCCCACATAGACCATGTAATATTCTTAGCACCCCCTCCCCCGCAGTTAATTGGCGGTCAGTTTTCTATAGGCCTCCCTTGATTTTGGCGATGACTGATCCCCCCCTCCCCTCCGTTCCTTTCCATTCCACCCAAAGCCTCTGTCACTCCCCCACCTCTATCCCTTCGGGTGATGAATAACGACCGATCCCTTCAGGACAAAAACGTTAACTTTTTACATTTATCTTTTAGCACGAATAGGACTTAAGTATTTGGAATTTCGCTCTTTTCCATAGTCGAAAAAAAGGAAGAGATTAAAAAGTGCGAGTCGACTTGCTGGTCTTTTACCCACCTATTCTCAGGGCTAATTGTCATTGTTAAGTTTTTTTGTTGTAGTTTCCTCAATTTCAGATGTCTAAAACTTAGCGCAGCTAAAACTGAGGTGGGTGGGCTAAACATTTCTCTGATAATCTATTTAGATACAAAACAACTTTAGGATGCACCAAACTCACGCATCACAAGACGTACCTCAAGGCCGATTTTCGGATCAAGAATCCATAACCTGCAAAACTATTTTCACTACACATAACCTAAATTTTCAAGAATACGATAAAGCGTCTCTTTTATGTCTATTAACTGTTCTGTTCAGCCAACATGTCTCCGTCTGCACGCATGTAACTCGAGCCACAAAGTAAACAAAAAGAGCTCAATATTTTCCAGTAACGGTGTTCAAAATCTTTTTTTTTTTCTAGAAAAAGCTGATAGTTTCCCGCATTAAGTATGAATGAAAGGTGTTCGTTATCATATACCGGTAACTACAATTTTAAGCAAAGTAAGTGACACACACCTGTTTCAGAGTCACGTTCCATTTCTTCCTGCTCTCCAGAACCAGAAGCATCATATTCGTTTTCATTAAAAGCCCAGTCAGTGCTGTACTCTGAATCCGCGTCTTGACTTTTACCAGATCCCCCGCTGATGAGTGATTCGGGTTCAAAGTGCTGAGTTTCATCAGGAGTCATTTCGGTCTGAATCCAGTTGTCATCGGAAGGAGTAATCTGAAAGTTGACGTCAAGCAAAGATATTAGATCTTGCCAACCGAGCCCCGGTTGGTATCAGATTCAGGGTTCAAGATTGCTTCTGTGTTTTGAGTTTGAGTAGATTTAAGCGCGACATTGATGACTACAGGAATGAAAGGCTAAACTCCTGCAAATTCCAGATTTAAGTTTAGGAGCGGGTGCAAAGTCCGGAGATCGAATGCTTTCGGCTTAAACCATGGCAGTGTCATTGGGTTGGGCCCTGGGCTGGGGGACACTGTTCGGAGTAGCAATACTCCGAGTAGACTCATGCTACAGAAGCTGGGATAAACTGTGGGAGGATGAGCCTCTAAGCTCGTAATCTGCCCTTACCTTTTTTATTTTTTTTAATGATTTTGGTAGGTTATCTCCTCTCCTCAAACGATCCTTTCCGATGTTGAACGATTTCTTTAATCTAGTTTGAAGGGATGGCTCTTCGCTGTCGGTAATCTCATCATGGGTAAATGCTGTTCCACTAGTATATGGGCCAGTTCCAGAATAATCATCTGTGCTTTCATAGAGCCTGTTTTCAACACGCTTCAATGAAGACACAGGGATACTGCTTGTCTCTTTGAGACTTCTTGATGGTAGAGAATTTCCTGCAGATAAAACAAACGCATGCAAGGATTGTCGTTAAGTTCTTTATGATGTAATGACGTCACGATAGCTAATAGATATCACGGTCACAGAAATTTAAGTAAAGTTAACAGAACACCACAAAAAGATCATGTTTGTGTCGCTACCTCGGCCATAGTCGTAAGTAGATTAGATTTCAAAGAGCGTGCATTTTATTTCTGTGGTGTTTTGACAGTCCTCTCCTCTCTACACACTCGGTCTTATCGACTTAATATATCTCTCCAATCTAATGACGATTTCGAAAAATCTCGTTCCCCCAATCTCTTATATTTCTCAGCGGGTGCAGTTGAAGCAAGTGAAACACACTATTCAGGGACCGATCGTTATATATTTCCTGAGGACGGGGGGATGGGGAACTAGAGGATTTTACTTGTATAAAAATATTTTACCTAAACTCTCCCCCCCCCCCCCCCCCTTAGGCAATGTAATATTCTAAGCTCTGTTGGCGACGACTGACCCCTCTCCGTTCCTTTGAATACCACCTAAAGCCTTCGCCATTCCCCCGACACTTCTCCCTCTCCGGGCGATGAATAACGACTGATTCCTTTAGGACAAAAACGTTAAATATTTGCATTTATCTTCTAGCACGAATAGGGCTTATTATTTAGAATTTCGCTTTTTTCCATATTCAAAAAGAGGCAGAGATTAAAAAGTGCGAATGGACTTGCCGGTCATTTACCCCACCTACTCTCACAGCTAATTTTCATTGTTAAGCGTTTGAGGGAATTGTACAAAAATATTTTATCTTAACGCCCTCTCCCCCCCCCCCCCCCCCCCCCCCAATCAGGTCATGTAATGCACCCCTTCCCCCCGCGGTTGATCGGCGGTCAGGTTTCTATAGTCCTCCCTTGATACTCTATTGGCGACGACTGACCCCCTTCCCTCCGTTACTTTGAATTCCACTTAAATCCTTCGACACACCCCCTCCAACCCACCCCACCCCCCAGGGCGACAAATATTGACTGATTACATTAGGTGAAAAATATTAGCTATTTGCCTTTAGCATGGATAAGGCTTCAGTAGTTAGATTATCGCATTTTTCTTCATTAAAAAAGAGGGAAAGGTTCAAAATTGCCAATGGACTTGCTGGTCTTTTACCCCACCTCGCGGCTAATTTTCATTCTTAACCTTTTTTGATGTCAAAGTTGTCTGAATTTCAGATGTGTAAAACTTAGCGACAGCTTACTCTGAGATGGGTAGGCTAAAAATTGCTCTTTTACTTGACTAAATACAAAACAACTCTGAGACCGAAACTGCGAAATGCACCAAACTCGCGCATACAAAACTTGCCCCAAGGCCGTTTTTCGGATCAAGAATCCACAACCTGCACAACTATTTTCACTACACATAACCTAATTTTTCAAGATTGCAATAAAGCGCGCCTTTTATGCCTATTAACTGTTCTGTTCAGCCAACATGTTTCCGTCTGCACGCATGTAACTCCAGTCACAAAGTAAACAGAAAGGGCTGATTATTTTCCAGTATCGGCGTTCAAAATATTTTTTCTAGAAAAGGCTGATAGTTTCCCGCATTTAGCATGAATGAAAGGTGTTCGTTGTCTTATACCGGTACCTTACAATTCTAAGCAAAGTAAGTGACGCACACTAGTTTCAGACTCACGTTCCATTTCTTCCTGCTCCCCAGAACCAGAAGCGTCATATTCGAGTTCATTATAAGCCCAGTCGGTGCTAGACTCTGAATCCGTATCTTGATTCGCACCAGATTCCCCCCTGATGAGGGATTCAGGTTCAAAGTGCTGAGTAATCTGAAAGTTGACGTCAAGCAAAGATATTAGATCTTGCATACCGAGCCCCAGTTGGTATCAGATTCAGGGTTCAAGATTGCTTCCATGTTTTGATTTTGAGCAGAGTCAAGTGCGACGTTAATGACGCATCTTTTTTAATTATATATTCCGAATAATTATATCCTATCCACTGATTAACCTTAAAGAACATCAGTACTGACTACTGGAACGAAAGGCCAAACTCCTGCAAGATCCTGATGTAAGATTAGGAGCGAGTACTACGTCCAGAGATCGAATGTGTTCGGCTTAAACCATAGTAGTCATCGAGTTGTACCCGGGCAGGGGGGAGCATTACTCGGAGTGGCAATACTCCGAGTAGATTCATACTACAGAAGCTGGGATAAGCTGTGGGAGGATGAGCTTCTAAGCTCGTAATCTGACCTTACCTTTTTTATTTTTTTAAATGATTTTAGTAGGTTATCTCCTCTCTCCACAAGGTTCTTTCCAATGTTCAAGGGTTTCTTCAATTTAGCTTGAAGGGATGGCCCTCTGCTGTCGGTAATCCCATCACGGGCGAATGTTGTTCCACTGTTATATTGGCCAGTTCCAGAATAATCATCTGTGCTGTCCTGGAGCCTGTTTTGAACACGCTTTAAAGAAGACACAGGGATACTGCTTGTCTCTTTGAGACTTCTTGATGGAGGAGAGTTTCCTGCAGATAAAACAAGCGTATGCAAGGATTATCTTTTAGTTCTTTATGATGTAATTCTTTACGATGTACAATTCTAAGCAAAGTAAGTGACAGACACTAGTTTCAGACTCACGTTCCAATTCTTCCTGCTCCCCAGAACCAGAAGCGTCATATTCGCGTTCATCAAAAGCCCAGTCGCTGCTAGACTCTAAATCCGCATCTTGACTCGCACCAGATCCCCTCCGGATGAAGGATTCAGGCTCAAAGTGCTGAGTTTCATCAGAAGTCATTTCGGTCTGAACCCAGTTGTCATCGGAAGGAGTAATCTGAAAGTTGACGTCAAGTAAAGATGTCAGATCTTGCCTAACGAGCCCCATTTGGTATCAGATTCAGGGTTCAAGATTGCTTCTGTGTTTTGAGTTGGAGTAGCGTCAAGTGCGACATTGATGACTTATCTTTTTCTTAATTATATATATATATATATATTTCGAATAATTATATCCCATCCACTGATCAGCCTTAAAGAAGATCAGTACGCCTACAGGAATGAAAGGCTAAACTCCTGCAAATTTCTGATAATCTAACCTTACCTTTTTTGTACTTTTTAATTTTTTTGGTAGGTTATCTCCTCCCCTCATAAGGTTCTTTCCGATATTAAACGATTTCTTCAATTTAGCTTGAAGGGATGGCTCTTCGCTGTCGGTAATCTCATCACGGGTAGATGTTGTTCCACCGGTATATTGGCCAGTTCCAGAATAATCATCTGTGCTATCGTAGAGCCTGTTCTGAACACGCTTCAATGAAGACACAGGGATACTGCTTGTCTCTTTGAGACTTCTTGATGGTAGAAAATTTCCTACAGGTAAATCAAACGCATGCAAAGATTGTCGTTGAGTTCTTTATGATGAAATGACACTGCTAATATATATTACGGTCATAGAAATTTAAGTAAAGTTAACGACACGCTACAGAAAATCATGATTGTGCCTGTTAAGAAGAAAATACTGGACTGGCGTGTCGTGCGAATAGCGCGTGCGCGCTGAGACATTTAAATTCGACCAGCTCGTAGGCAAGTTGCGCGTTACTTTTTTCAGTTTCAGTCGCATTTTGGAGGCTTTTGTTTTTGAGTTTGTATTTTAAGCCGTTACCATTTTACCGTCTTGTTACCGATTAAACGTGCCTGCTTTTAAAGGAGATTTTCGTTTTCGCCTCCGAACATTTCTAGCGACCACAATGGGAGAAAGGTATGAACTGGTGTTTGTTTGAGGTTTCGTTTGCGATTTTAGTTTCTGAGTTTTGAGTTGTGCATTATGGCTGCCGAATCCGAGGACAGCGATGTTACCGAATTTACCGAGAAAAATGACAAAATTGCGAATGGAGTCGACAAACAGAAGGAAAACGACGTTCTGTTAATTCAGATTAGGGGAAGAAACGCTCCGCAAAGACAAAAGAGACAAAACTCAGACATGAGTTAGAAAGACTATGCGTGAAGGATTCCGAAGTAACGGACATAGAAAGTATGATTGAGCAGTTGAGGGCAGCCCTTGAAGACGCACAAGAAATTTTAGAGGAACTGTCTGCTTTCTTTCTATGTCGAAGTCGGAGAAGACACTGGGGAAAACGAAGCTTTTAAAGAGTCAGAAAACATCGAAAAAGACGTATGAAGAGCGATCGAAGTGGGACAAAGTGCGATAAAAGTCCGCGCGTGCAAAGTCATGAATATGAACACTCCATTAAGCGATAACATGACCGAGAAGATCAACTAAACGAGACCACTGGAAGATCACTAAAGAAAAAAAGTTGTGTTCTCGTTGCCTAGCCTCTGATCATAAGAGGAAAGATTGCCCAAAGGCCCGCACGTGTGGAATAGACGGTTGTTCTCGAAATCGCCACCGCCTTCTTCATGGAAGTGAAGTTTTGTCAGAAACCGCACCGATGACAATGTTGCCTCATGCTGACGATGGGAGACGCCCAGATGTTCCACGGGAGGGGGCGCCCGCGGTGACCCTGACCAGCTGTAATGCTAAAACGCCGACTGAGTCTTATTCGTCCCTGTGTGGATGAAGGCTAATGGAAGAAAAGTAAAAATAAACGCCATCCTAGACGATGCATCGAACGAAACTTTCCTAAACGAAGCGGTTGCTGGGATACTGGGACTGCAAGAGCCATTCGAAAAATTTCAAGTTTATGTGATCAATAACACCGTCGAAAATTTTCAGTCCATGCCAATAAAAATTGAAATCGAAACTGTACATGGCAAGTTTTCAAAGGAAATAAGCACAAAAACGTGTCCGCAGAAAGTCACTGGCAATTACAATGTTGTGAAATGGAACGACCATCAGAATAAATGGCTGCATCTGACCCAGTGCAATTTTCCCAAGCCGGCAAATGATGGACTTGTCGATCTTTTGATTGGCATTGATAACGCTGAACTCCATTATTCGCACGTTGATCTCCGTGAAGCTGTATTGGTGCGCCTGACGAGACCGCGAGAACACGATCTCACGTTATCCGTTCCTTGTCCACTAGAGAACTTATTTGGAGCGAGGGAAAAGAATCCTGTTGTGACCTTGACAAAAGCTGAAAGAGATTCTGGGTAATCGAGAAGTCTGGCACAGACCGCGATGGCAGACTCGTATTCACCGAAGAAGAAAGACTAGTCTTAGGCAAAGTGAAAGATTTCCTCAAGTACGAAAATGGAAGATATCGTGTCGCCGTCCTTTGGAAAGAAAACAAACCCGATCTCCCTGACGCTAAACCCATGGCACTCTCTCGCCTCTGAAGCACCGAAAGAAATCTGAAGAAAAACGGCCGCGTCGCCTAAGAATATCAAGCAACTATTCAGGCCTATGTTGAAAAGGGATATTTACGAAAGGTACCCTCAGAAGAACAGCCGCCAGCTAACGTATGATTTTTGCCCCATTTTCCGGTCGTGAGAATGGATAAATCGACAAGGAAAGTTCGAATCGTATTTGACGGTGCCGCGAAATGTGATGGTATTTCCTTAAATGACATGATCCATGCTGGGCCGAAATTACAGCAAGATCTTTTCAACGTCCTTGTCCGTTTCCGTCGAAATCCTGTCGGTGTCGCTTGCAACGTAAAAGAAATGTATCTCCAGATAGAGGCTAAGGAGCAAGACCGATCCCACTTCCAACTGTTTTGGAGAGACCTTGACCCTAACCGAGAGCCAGACGTATTCGAGTTTAGCCGTGTAGTTTTTGGAAAGAATTCCGCCCCTATGGAGTCGCAGTTTGTTGGGCAGGAGAACGCTCGAAGAAAACAAGACCGCTATCCCCTTGCCACTGAGACCGTCCTTAAGTCAACCTATATGGACAATTCTATTGACAGTGTTGAAAACAATGATGAAGGAGCGGAGCTGTACCGTCAATTGAAAGCACTATGGGTAGTTGCCGGCATGTAAGCCAGGAAGTGGATCTCTGATTCACCGAAAGTTATTGAAGCGATTCCGACAGAAGAGCGCGCCACAGAGATCGTTATTAACGGCGGTCAAGCTCCAATAACGAAGACACTTGGAATTTCGTGGAACAGTACCGAAGATGTGTTTACCGTCACCGCTTCTGCAGTGTCCCTGGAATTTCAGATAACGAAGCGAAACGTCTTGCGTAAAGTAGCAACGATTTTTGACCCGCTGGGATTTGTATGCCCATACGTTATTACGGCCAAGATCCTACTCCAGGGGCTGTGAACGGATGCGAGGCTACGACTGGGAAGACGAAGTTCAAGATGAAATAGCAGACAAAATCAGGGATTGGTTGGAGCAATTGAAAAGTCTGCAAGAGGTGAAGATTCCCCGGTGTCTACGACGTCCAGAGACTGTCAAGTCGAAGCACATTGTGACATTTGTTGGTGCCTCTCAACAAGCTTATGGTGCAGCTGTCTATATGCGCTGCGAATACGATAACGATACCGTAATCAGTCGCCTGATTGCAGCTTAGAGTAAAGTGGCGTCGTTCACCCCGATGGCAGCACCCAGACTGGAACTTATGGGTGCGATTGTAGGCCTGCGTTTCAAACAGTCCTTGCTGACAGTCTTATACCCCGTTCACACCAAAGCTTAAACATGGTTAAAATTTGTTTTGATAAACAGATTTAATAAGACTGGCCATACACACGGGCGCTTTTAAGAAAACACGTCTAAAACCGTGTTTAACAAAGTTTGGGAGCACTAAGAAACCCTCCTGTGGCTTGAGAAGTGGGGAGACGAGAAGATCCAGCTCCAGCTAAAATCATACACAAGAAAAAAGCCTATATGGCTAGAAATTGCGGCAAATCTTCGAGCTGCAGGCTATGAAGACAGAGAAGACGGCAGCTGCAAGACACGAATTCA